CCTAAACATATAAAAGTAAGTTTTTAGTATAAACAAAACCAAACAGTGACTTAAAACGACAAAAACAAAAAAATCAACAGACTTTGTTGCTCATTAATTAGAAAAGCAATTGCCATGTCATGTGAACCGGGCTGCAAGGTGGAACAGTGGTTAGCAACATTGTCTTGCAGCAAGAAGGTCACCGGTTCGCGTCGCAGTGGGGACACCGGCATCTTTCTGTGTGGAGTTTGCATGTTCTCCCCGTGCAGCGTGGGTTCTCTCTGGGCTCTCCCGCTTCCTCCCACACAGTCCAAAAACATGTTGAGGTTAATTGGTGATTCTAAAATGTCCATAGGTGTGAATGTGAGTGTAGCCCTGTGATAGACTGGTGACCTGTCCAGAGTGTCCCCTGCCTTCACCCTAAGTCAGCTGGGATAGGCTCCAGCCCCCCGTGACCCTAGTGAGGATTAAGCGGTGTATAGATAATGGATGGATGGATGTCATGTGAAACTTGCAAATTGCTTGACACACGCACAGACCATTCAAAAAGAATAGTAAAAATAAATGTAGTGATCCTACAATTTTACAGTCTTTATTGTGAAACTAGTCAATTTTGCACTGTGGATGTTACAATTTGAGGTAATTGATGCATTTTCTATTGAATATTCCTGTCTATATCATGGATGGTTTGTTGTTGCAAATATCCACCATGGGAAAATTCACCGCAGATTTCATTTTGAAGGACACATAGCAAATAAACAGGTTAAGTGGCTCATCCGGCATTTAAAAAAAATCTAACAGCTAATGTTGCGTTGTGTTTATTCATTCATTCATTCATTCATTCATTCATTCATTCATTCATTCATTCATTCATTTATTTATTTATTTATTTATTTATTTATTGCTGCAATTTGTTTTTGCCCAGAGTTACTTACTACAGTATTAACTGTTAGCTCATCTTACCTTTTCAGTGAATGTTCCTGCCTTGAATATTTACCGTAACATTGCAATCATAGTTGTTCGACTCAAGCTGTGTGGCTGTGGCTCAGGTGGTAGAGCGAGTCGGTCAATGATCGGAAAGTCGGCGGTTCGATTCCCTGTAACCTGTGTCATGACCGTTGTGTCCTTAGGCAGGACACTTCACCTGCCTTGCCTGGTGTGAAATCGTATGAATGGATTGTTTGAAGTGGTGGCAGCCACGCCTCTGTCAGTCTACCCCAGGGCAGCTGTGGCTACAATCGTAGCTACCACCACCAGAATGAATGTGTGAATGAATCATTGACAGTGTAGCGTGACTTTGAGTGTCCAGAAAAGTGCTATACAAATCTGATCAGTTATTATTATTGTTAGTTTTTAATGACATGAGTGAGATTGTAAATGGATTAATTTATCAATATCAGCAACCATGACACATTTTCCCTTGAAACACCCTAAACCCTAATGTTTGTCTGCGTCAAGGACATTTGCCTTTCTCTATCATACAGTAACTCATACAAGTAATCGATGTATCGTATTATGCAGAAGAATGGGGACTAAACGGGTGTTTAGGATTTCTTCATGAATGCATTTGTTTTCTCATTTCAATGCTAAAATAAAATTCTAAAATCAATTTGCAAAATATTCTTTACTATGTTCTTATGACAACAAAACTAGTCAAGGACATCTGATTATGTGATCAACACACTGATTTTTAAAGTTAAAACAATCCTTTTCCCATTTAACATAGATGTAGCTCTACATCGTTGCTGCCTCTAAAATGTGCAGATCTATGAAATCCCTGTGTTTCTCTACACTCATCCTTCCCTTCTCACTGCAGCTCAGCACACCAGCTCACCTATGACTGTAAAACTACTCTGTGCTACATAATGGCAACTTGTAATAACGGAGTGACTCAGTCACACATGTTCAAATGAGGAACAAAATTAAAAAAAAAAAAAAAAAAGGATACAGAAAGCCCCACCCTACAAGGTGACAAAACATATATATATATTTTTAAATGTACATATGAAACCATCATCAGCACACCACAGTCCCTGGTGGTAATGCTTAGCCATAGCGTTGACTGCTTATTTCCCTCCTGATATGTTTTCTAGTATTTGAAAATACCATATGGACGTGCTACAAAGGTATAGAAACAGCTTGATATTCACTTGAGGGGGGGTCTCTAGGGAGTTCCCATCTTTACAGTGCAGTCCCTCATGAACCTACTACTTCATGTTTCCGGTGAGCACAGATCATGTGAATATGTAGCAGTAGTTATTTCTGGCTGTCTTGCAGCAGTACTAGATCTGCACACTTCTATCTGGCCTGTGTCCTCCCACTGAATATGTTCAAGTGGCTTATGCAGAAACACTGAGTGGGATGACTAAGGTGCAGCTGGCAGTGACCCAGGTTAATATGGTTAAAACACTCGAGTGCCAGTGTCTACAGTCACAGAGGCATGCAGGGTGCTGAATGCAGAAAAACCGAACAGGAGTCTTCAGAGAGCCTTCTGGAGGAGCGTAGGGGGGCAGTGAAGCTATAGCTGCTGTATAAGCAGCTGTGCCGAGGCCTGCACGGTGGCTGAGGTGGCTGTAGCAGTGATTTCCCCACAGTCTGTTTCTGCAGACTTTGAATCAAATCAGCACCTTTTGTAATGGGACTCATGTGCAGCAGGAATCCTAATTAAACACTCCATACAAAGCGATGGTATTTTAAATGTACTCGTCATACAGAGCTGGGTAACACAAGACTGGTAGAGCTGGAGAGAAAATATGTGTTGCAGTCATTAAAACATAAAAGGGTGATAACAGTAAATGTGCTGTATAATCACAACACAGAGAACACTGTGATCCTCGTGTAAGCTGTGTTATTTTATAGCCTTGAAGAGGTGAAATTTTTATTTTAATTTTTATCTTGGAAACATGTCGATACGGTGTTGTTTTTTTTCTTTTTTGTATGTTAGTAGACACATTATGAGTGAAATAGGCGCTATGGCTGAGCGTTTCTACCTTGAAGCTGCAGCGTACTGCTGCCAAACTTTGTAAACATGGATTCAGTTTTGATTTTAGATTTCACATGGGACAAATCGAAGGAACCGTTACTTCCATTGTGGGGCTCTCTGTGTCATTCTTCTTCAGAATCAGGTCTCAAACAGATACACCTGAATTATTCCAATGTTGCAGCTTGTCGTTATGTAGTTTAGAGTAGTTTTGAAGTGCTTGAGCAGAATCACAGGTGAACTGGTGCGCTTAAGCTGCAGCAAGTAGCTGGGGGGTGGGTGGAGATGGGCATGAGTGGATTATTTTCATGGAAAACCCTTCTAAATATGTAATTTTGATACATAAGGATGAGTTCCTAGGGGTTTGATTAACGATTGGAGAGGGGCTTTTAAAAATGCGTTTTGAAGCTCTTGATTTACATCCCCATTCTTATGCATGACATGAGCAATGGGTAATGTATGAAAGAGTAAGATTGCGGATGCAAGCAGCCAAAATTAGTCTACTCCATGGGGTATATGTCTCAGCCTTAGAGGTAGCGTGAGGGGCTAGGATATCCGGTGGGAGTTCAGAGTAGAGCCAGCTGAGGTGGTTTTGTGCATCTGATGCCTACTGGGTGACTTCCTTTGGAGATGTTCCAGGCACGTCCAACTGGGAGGAGACCCCGGGTCGACTCAGAACTCACTGGAGGGACTATATGTCTTATCAGGACAAGGAACACCTTGGGATCCCTTAGGAGGAGTTGGAAAATGTTACTGGGGAGAGGGATGTCTGGGCTGCCCCTCTTCGCCTGCTTCCACCACACAAACCTGAAAAAGCAGCAGAAAATGTATGTATGGATGGAAGGATGAATGGATGGATGCAGTAAGTTTGTGCCTTGACAGAAAGGATGAGGTCATGCTCTTTGAAGCTGATCTCTGAGAACATTAAAAATAAAAGCTCTTGAAACTACTCTCAGAAAGCCATCCAAACCAGAAATACCATCAAGGCATTTGGAGAGGTACAAGAGCACTTACAAGATCACATTTGTACCAGATGTCCTCTGACAAAGCGCTGGGCAGACTATAAAGCTTTTACAGTTCCAGTCACCATCTGATTGTAGTGAATCAGCAAACAAACCAAAGAGCATAAATCTAAGATCCTCTCATGGGCGTGAAGTGGGATCAAAGTGTTTGGGGCAGTCACAGCCATGTCTGGGTTCGCCTTAATCAAGTAAAAGTACACTGTGAGACTGAATCGCTTTCTTGATTTACTTGAGCCATAATTCATTTGGAATTGGAGATGAGGAGCTGGCAATGGCAGGAGACGGGTTACAGTATGGAGCAGGAAGTAATTTGAACTGGCTGATGGCTGGAATCAGCATTGCTATTTTAAACAGAGATCCTTAAATATCTTTTCGCATGGGGTTTCTGCACTGCGCTTGGCAGTGATCAGCCTTACTCTGGAGAGCTACAGTTGATAAAAGTTCTCTTCAGGTAGTGGTTCAGATCCACTAATACATGAATGCCACCTGTCTTCCAGTGATTCAAAACAGATCATTTCCTCTGCACAGTTGTGTTTGCTCTAATTTGATATGTAGTTTAAACTCTAGTCAAGCATGGGATTGGTGAAATGATCATCATACTTCTGATGCTGACCGTGCATGTATGCGAGGGGCAGCACATGACAAACGTGTGGGCAAAACACCGATGTGAAAACTTGAAGTTGCCCCCCTGGCAGCTGCGTCAGAGGTGAGATGGAAACTGTTAACCTCAACAACAGCAGAAAAAAAAATCTGTTAACACATCTTCACAGCTCATTAAGTGAAACGGGGAGAAGGCTGCTCTGCCAAGTGGAAGTATTTGCTGCTTTCATATAGTCGTGATGTTTATTTTATCCAGCTCCACAAACGCACAGCTCGTGAATATTCATGATTCTGCCTCTGAACGTCAGGACGCAGCGGCAGCTTTTCCTCCCTGACAGAAAGAGAGAGAGAGAGAGGAGAGGTTGGGAGGAGGAGGAGGAGGAGGAGGAGGAGGAGGAGAGACAGCATGCCAGAGCCTGGCCGCATCTCTCCCACCGACACCGAGCAACGGCACCGTTTCACTGCGTTTGAGGGCGAATCTGCTCTCTGCTCATCCTACGCTGCACCGCCGACGAGGGAGGCAACAATGGACTGACGGGACACAAACACACACTGAAAGAGAGAGAGGGAGAGAGAAGGAGAGAGAGAGAGAGAGAGAGAGAGAGAGAGAGAGAGAGAGAGAGAAACGCCGCCTTGTTTTTGAAGCGTGCACATATTCTCTGGACATAAGCTCCTTCGGCTTCGTGTTTGCAGCGCGGGACGCATTGAGTGACCAGAACGCATTTGAAAGACATTCAAAAAAAAAATAAGAGGAGGGAGATGCCACGGAAAAGCAGTGATCGCTGCAGGATGCTTCCATACGAGCAGTTATTGCAGTGCATCTCCTGTAAGATGGACGAGACATATTGGGGCTAAAAGGAAACTGGCGAGTTACCACGTTGCGCAGGAGAGAGAGAGAGATGTTTGGCCACAGTGTGCTCGGCGGGATGAATGCCTTCCCTGGCGTCGTTTCTGGTAATATGTAGCTGGGTTTGACAGAGGAAAGGGAGCGTGTGTGCTGTTTCTTCACAAGCCCCTTTAAAAAAAAAAAAAAAAGAAAAGAAAAAAGAAAAAGGCATCGCAGCACCGTGGACAACCTTTTCTCCACCTTGAACTTCTCATGTGATGCCCCGCTACGGAGTGAGCGCAGCCTCCTGAACTGTCCGTGGTGCTGAACGGCTCCTCGGGTCTCCACGCAGTTGACCTTCTCCTCCTCCAAAAACAACAACAACAACAACAACAACAACAACCCTCCTGCAACACCAACACAGTGAGGTGACAGAGCAGGGCAACCGCACATGAACAGCTGCTGGGGGTTGACTCGAGTCAGCCGGACGGTAATTCCTCTTTCATGGCTGTGGCACGCAAAATCAAAACTTTGCTGACCGTCAACATCCTAGTGTTCGTGGGGATTATCCTGTTCTCGGTGTACTGCAGGATCCAGGACCGGTCCGAGGAGCTCATCCAGATTGGGCGTATTTCTGACCAGAGGCTGCGAGCCAGGAATGGCAAAGTTTCCAACTTGGTGGACAGGCAGTCTATTCTCCAGAGGCTGGAGAGGCTGGAGGATGTGGTCTACAATCAGTTAAACGGTAAGGACTGGTGCTCTTCCTCATCTTGCAAAACAAACAAACAAACAAAATGTTGACATCTTTTGTAACTAGAGAGCTCATGTGCAAAAAAGGTGAGTTGGACCTTGACCATGACTCATGCATATTTCTCTGTCAGCCTCATTTTTTATTTATATTTTTTTTGGAGTAAAGCAACCTCATTTCACACAGGAAACAATGTCAAACGTGTTGGCGAGTGAAGGTCTGCAGCTCCAGCCTTCCTTGTTAAGAGCCTAATGAAGCAGGGTGATGCATTATAGTGCAACATTTTGTGTATGTGCTCATGTGTTGACAGACTTTACTGGGCCGTATCCTTTAACAGCCTATCACACTCTGACATCCCCATCCTATAATTGACTGGCTGTAAACTTCACATAAACTTATGCTTCACCTATCGCTGCCTGTAGCTCTGTATGGATTCTCGCTCAGAGGAAGTCGGTATGTCAGCAGCAGCTCCTGTCATTCCACTGCAGGCACCTCTGCTGAAACGTATCAGATTTAACAAGCAGTCTGAGTTTTGAAGGAGAGTCTAATGTAATGGCTCTATAACGGAATGACAGACTTGTATTTCATTACATGGCCATTAGTCTGTGAGGTGGATTTGGTCTCCTCAGCAGCAGCAGCAGCAGCAGCAGCAGCAATCTTTAAAATCAGGTTACATCTGATTCTGCCTCGCTCGTGACTTTCTTCTCCTGTGGGAAATCCTCACAGTCTGATGATAAAGGTGCAGTTTGGTTTTTTATTCACACGGATGCATGAAGTCCCCAACTCCTCACAATAGATACAAGGACATGAGTTATGTCTGTTTTTTATTTTGTTGTTTTTTTTTTTTTTAAGTAATGATGCATTCAAAACTTTTACATCATCAAAAGTCATTTTAAAACTACAGAAATCCCACATACACTTACCAGACAAAAGTTTGAGAGGATCTCAGTTTTCTTCCAGCATTGCTTGAAATTTAAGCAGTTTCGAGGTCAGTGAATAACTTTAAATGCTACAAAGGGAAGTGGTAAACTGCCCAAGGTAAAACAAATGTCTAGATCACCAAAAACTAAAGAGAAAACAGGCTTTTTTTTCAGGAGTTAACACACTGCTAAAGTTACAGCTTTCCTGCAGCAACAGAAATAAATCCAGCCTTGGATGTTAACGCAAATAATCCCTATAGGAGCCCCAGGTTCAGTTTGCTTCCTTTATAGTTGTTTCGGAGGTTCTCTTTGTTGTCCGTAGTGACTGTCAGGTCAATTCAAGCACAACAGAAAAGACGTTGCAATTGCCGAACGACATTAAACACTTGACTCCACAACAAACAGCATCGCCAACAACGCTCTCACTTCCACAGCCTCTGTCTGTACGCAGGGACAAAGTGTGATGCTGCACCCACTGATGCATTATTAGGACAACACTTGTACTGCAGGAAGAATGTGGAGATCAGAACGGTTAAGAAGAAAATCAAGTAACAGCAAGATACTGACCCAGAACTTTGTAGGAAAAGAAGTAGACGTCACGTGATGGATGACCAGCACAGTCTTCAGACTTCAGCCTTGTCCAGCTGGTTTGGCTTCAACTGGACAGAAGGGTTGAAGTTTTTGCATTTCTAATGTAAAAAGAAAGTCACGAGTGTGTTCAAGCTGCTGAATGAGTTAAAAAGTGTCGATAAAATTTAGGATTAAGATTCCATGATTCTTTTTTCTATAAATCTTTACTATTTATTTGTTTTAATTTAACACACAAAGTTAGTGGTGAGTCACTGTTAATGTTAAACTGTTGAAATCGGGGACTGCGCAATTTATTCCAATTATTAATTCATCTGCCAATTATCCTCTCAATGAATCAGTTAATTATTTAGGTCATAATTTCCCTAAGCCTAGAGCAATGTCTGCAAATGTCTAAAAAAAAAAAAAATCTTTCTAGCTATCGTATATGACAAGTAAAATCAAACAATCCTCACATTTGTAGAGAGAAATGACAGAAAATGTTTTAGATTGAATTTCTTTTTTAAATGACCTGACTAACTGATCAACTGATTAGTTTCAGCTTTAATTAAAGCACACCTAAATAATTCTAAAACAAAAGCCACTATTTTGTAAGTGATTTCAAACTGGGGAAAAAAAAAAAGTTTGAGTATTAAACAATTTCTGAAACAACGGGGGGAAAGTTGGATAGCTAATTATTTTTTCTGGTTTTCAATGACTCCTGCTCAGATCACTGTTGGAATACAAGAAGCATTTCTTGAATAACGGCACATTTTTTTTTCTCCACTCCTTTGCGCTCACTCAGAGGATACTCAGACTAAATGGGATCACAACTAAAATCTTCTCTCACCATTGTGACTGCCACAGAAGTGCTTTACTCCCTCACATCACGGGCAGATCCTTAATGCACCTGCAGGGGTCGACTGATCAATAGCACCGACTCAGTGGATTTCACTGAATTTGAGCCTTTTTTGAACAGTATTTTCCGCACAATTTTAGTTTTTGGAAATCCTAAATCACAGGCATGTCAGCAGTTAGTATTTTTCAAACGGTGATGCTTCATCTACAAAACGCCTTGTTCTCCAGTCAAATAATGAGAAGGCAGCGTGGTGGATTGTTACTGCTCTGCGTGGCGCTACTGATTGGTTTTTAGTCAATCAGCAAAGTCGGTTTATTTACTAGTTCGCCGTTCTCTCGTGGGAAATTGAAACTTTATCATCTGTGAAAACTGCAGGTTGCTATAGCTCAGGCTTAAAGGCAGATGAGGGAGACACTGTCTATTTCTGTTGCTGTATTTAATTCACAGTAGAGGTCAGAGATTTTGTAACTTCCCTTTGATGATGGTTAAACCCTAAATTCATACAGTAAGGAAATAGAAGATATATGGAGAAAAGTAAGCGTGTCTCTGTCACTGTTGAAGCTACAGTGTCTCACTGTGACTTAATGGAGAGAGATGCAGGAGAAAAGCCTTGACAGTCCGTCTGACTGTGGTCGTTTCACAGCTGCATGGCCTCAGAACAGTGCGGCTCTGGACTGTTTCTGCATGATCTTGTTATTATGCTGGAGCTTCGGCAGCTATTTGAGGGTCACTCTGTCACTTTGAGTTATGCTTGGCATCTGGCACCCAGCCAAGGCAGTGCCTCTCAAAAAGTACAATGCATCCTCTCAGTCTCTTAGCTTTATATACAGACACTGAGTCTGCACAGTTCTGAAGGGGAAAGATACTTCCTTTATATTTATCTGTGGGATTATTCAGTGGGGTTGTCCCCGGCTGAAAATGTATATGAAACATTGTCTCATTCCATATGTGTGATGCATTTTTGACTTTTTTTTTTCTCCCCCCCCTGAGTATTGGCTGGAAGGCGTTCACTTCATCTCAGGCTAGACACACACAGCAGAAAGAGTTATATCAGATTCAAAAATTACTCTCAGAACCGACTCCCCTGTGCAGCACAGTTGAGTCCAAGTAGCTGGGACACAATTTGCAGGTCTTTCACAAGTGCAGACAGAAACAGTCAGTTAGGGAGCGAAGAGAGAAACAAGCCATAAATTAAGTGCAAAGCCGGCACAGCTGCCTGCTTTCCAGTCATCGCACAAATATGGAATAAAAGAATTCTGGACCGAGGTGTGAGTCTCAGGAAGCTGTTTATGAAGCTATAAAATATGTTTCATGAATTAGATGTAATAATTACAATTCAGCGTCAGGCTGTTACGCTGAATTTTAAATTAGAGCTTCACGTTGCCGAATTCTTTTATTCAACAAATCCGGATGACAAATTCAGATTTACAATTTTCAGACAATCTTACGCTTCACAGCTCCAGTCAGAAACAGCAATCAGTTGCAGTTACGTCATTTTTTCTTTGACAGGAGCAGGAGCGTGCACGACTGGGAAACATTTGCTGCCTGTCACAATCCCTCCATGATTTGTCTTGAGCTCTTTAATGGCATACTTAATCAAACCCTCATATCCCTGGTCACTGGCCTTTTTTTCTAAATGGTGCACAGACCACAAATTGTATTCTATGGCCACTGGGAATAACTATGGTGAGAGGAGGACTCAGCGCGCCAATAACTATTACCATGTCCAGCAGCGATATGAAGTAATTGCCCATTCCCTCTGTTGTTTATTGCCTACCAATGGCATGCCGTGGGAGCTGCAGCAGGGTCCAATTAGATTTGAAGGACATAAACAAGTCAGAGAATTCCTCTTTTATAGTTGTCTGATGGACGGTTGCCGGACTCCCAACAAGAAAACAACGGTCAAGCTTTATCAGCGGCCCATTCTGTGCAGAAATGTGCAACATGAGGGTTATCAGCAGCTCTGCTCTGCTGCAGATGCCACCAGCTCTGGGTAATCAGATGAGGAGGTTTTAAGCTTGTTAACAAGCTTATGAAGCCGCGATTTGACCTTAAGTACTGCATTAGAACTGGAAAATACCTCCTTGCTGGTACTTACCTGCTGAAGCCCTGTGAGTCTGTCTAGCCTAAGTGAACAATAAATGCAAATACGATTAGCTGCCATTATTTGGTAAGAGATAGAAATGCCCATTATTACCACTGATAAGGACTTTGTAGGTCGATATTCATATGGAAATTTTGAACTTTAGAAGTGCAGACGTCTAACACAATGTGTTTATTTTTGATTTGTGCTGAGAAAACATGATTAAAGGATTAATTCACCTTTTGTTAACCCCCTCCCCCCTCGTCCGCTGTAAAATCTTCAGAGAGAGAAGTCAGCAAACCGTGACTTCCGAGATCCATTTGAGGAAGAAACATCCGATTGCTGATCTTGAAATTCGGCTTGTTTTGACACAGTTGTGACACCACATTCTGTTCGGTTCGTTTGAGACGAGCCAGACTCGTGTGGAATCGATCACCAGCATATGACGACGATTGGATATCTGTCCGGCTTCTGTCTGGTGACGTAGGCGGTGACGTCAAGGCGGATGCAGTTTTCCGGAGCCTGGTTGCTCTCCGGCGACTGCCAAGCCTCAGGGCATGATGGGAAA